TCATGCATCAGAAATATAATCGAAGAAAAAACTGTTCTCGTTGCATTAAGTTGAATAAATAAGTAGTATGTTCCACATGACTATGGATATTTTGCATCATAAAAACTGATTAAGAGGACGTGAAACTGCGATAAAAATGCAGCATTGCATCGTGCAGAACAATAGTATTACATAATTTTTAGAGGAAGGTTCGAATAGTTGGACTCAACACGATATGTATTTGTTTTTCGACACATTATAAGTCCCGGGTTATTGATGCATTTTTCTGATATATTGAATCCTATAGTCGATGATAATTCAATACAGACCTATAGCATAATGTACTATTATGTTTTATACAAAAGTGATAATAATACGAAAAGACAGAAAATGGTACTTGGTGGTGCGAGATTGCAAGTGAAATGTCAATCAGTGAAAGGCCAGCTGTCCAGATTTGAGCCATGAACAAAACTGAACCAGATTCACCTTTTTTCTGATAAGTAAAGAGGTTGTCCTTATCACATTATTGTGAATATAATATATAGTTGGTGGACTTTCGTAATTTTAACCCTATCGCATGTGATACTTACACCAATAATTCTCATCAATAATTTCTTTTCATGGCTTCCACATTGAACCCATTATTCAATAATTCAACTTTTAATTAAGTCTTAACAAATCACTTTCCGTACAATAATTTGTAGGCTCCAAGATCTTATATTATCCATTTTACTCTTACACTTTTCAGTTTTTTTTTTCTAGTGCTTACTGCTCTCTACATGTAAATTAACTTTTGAACTTTTTGTTATTGTACATGTTGATTACTTAATTATGGCAACATGTACCCAATTATACATGTAAACACATAACCATAATAGATTGTTTTGATGGGTTAAAAAAATTATATGTATAATAAGATTACAAAAGCAACAGTCCGATAAGCTGGGTTTGTGTTGGTTAGGTTATACGAGTCCTAATATTAGTTGTACTGTACCATAAATTGGGTCGTTTACTTGGTTCTCATGCAATCCAATATAATGGCCCACTGAAAAAACCGAGAGTAAGCAAAACCCCTAGAATTACTTTATCTTCTGCACTTATCTAAAGATTTGACCAATTGACAAAGAAATGTATGGTGTTGACAAAAAAAAATGTATGGTGTATGGGCCGACTGGAGCCCATAAATTCAATGAGCCTGTCCCTTTTAGTCCTTGTTTTGGAATTCAACCATCAAAGACATTTTTACAAGCCACATGTATGAACACTAGTATTTGTTGCATTGGATTCTTCATCTTCTGTCCCTTTTTTTTTCTTTGTTTCACACATGACGAATCCAACAAATTATATGACGTTAGATAGGAAAAGAAAACAACTGACTTTCTCACACACCAAAAAGGTTTAAGAATAGGGATCGTTTTTGGTCTTGTTTTATATCCAGCTTCTAAAACACTAATAACATGATAAGAAAATAATACAATTTCGATTGACTCATGTTCAGGTCGGCATTCCAATCTAAAGCTTTGTAAATTGGTCCTTCTCATATATCATGAGTTCATTATTGTAACACCTCGCAAACAAGAAACCGTCTTAAGAAGAAAGAACACATAAACTAAACACTTTGGTAAGGAAAAAAAAAAACATAAAAAAGACAAACGAATAGAATAGTTTCAGTGCCAAGCCAATGCAATGTCCATCAAAGCCGGCCTTATGCTCTCCTTCATCACTCTCTTATACTCCGTTGTATCTCCGCCGCTTTTCTTCATCACCACCATGTGAAAGCTCGGCGCAATCTCAAACACCTCTGCTTCAACCACCACAGCTTCAGCTGCCGCAGCT